GAGAGAGAGAGAGAGAGAGAGAGAGAGAGAGAGAGAGAGAGAGAGAGAGACGGTATAAAAAGAACTGGAGAAAAGAGCAAAAGCAGCGCAACGGTAATTAGGAAATTAGGGGTCGCGGCTAAATATGCGCGTCGACAATCATCCGCGAAATGTCCTCCACAGCCATCCACGAGCAAACCGACCGCGGGAGCCCCCCTTCAACTCCTCCTCCCCTTCACCTCTTACTCCCCCCTCGTCTTCTTGCACTCGCTGAACGGCGCGCGCGCGCGCGCGCTCTTTTCCTCTGTGCTGCCTACTTTGCTTGCTTTTGACATAATGCCTCGAGTACTTGTGGCCGCTTGTGTTAGTGTGCTTGTGTGTGTGTGTGTGTGTGTGTGTGTGTGTGTGTGTGACACGCGTGTGCAGGGGCAACTCACAGGACCATGCTTACCCTGTACAGCCTCAAGTAGAGAGCAGTGGCGGGCGGGTGGTTATGTGGATGGATGGATGGATGGATGGATGGATGGATGGATGGATGGATGAATGGATGGATGGATGGATGGATGGATGGATGGATGGATGGATGGGAGGGTGGATGGATGGATTAAAAACACAAAGGTGGTAAGTCGTGCCCATAGAGAAATTACTATATGGTCGTGCCTTATTTCCAGGGGTGCTGAAGGAATTTTCAGTTTAGTCCCTAGGCTGGTCCACAGAGCCCTTCCTTTAGTTTGCTTTGTACTGTACCGCACGCATGCAGGCGTGCGGGCAGGCTTGCCGCCCTACCGTCGCTCACAGCGGTGCCGTACGGCCCCGTGTGAGTATGCAACCCGCCCGCACGCCTGCATCCGGTACAGTATATGCAAAATAAAGAAATGGGTCTGTGGACCACCCTGTAGAGGCAATGTTTACCATGACGACGACAGTGGAAAAACAAAGGTGCTACCTAATGCATTTTAAAGGCGGTGTCCCTTCAAATAGTGTCTGGTACTCAAACAACAGACAGGAGAGATAAAGGTAATGGCAGGGTGGGGAATTTGAATTCGGTGGCGTCATCCTCCTGCCTGTGTGGAACCCGGCGGTGTGGAAAACGGATGGACAACCATTAGGAAACACGCAAGTGCAAAGACGAAAAGTTGTAAAATGGTGCATCGTTACAAGCAGCCAAGCAGCCAGCCTGGCCGGGCATGCTGGAAAAGGAAGAGTTGAGGAAGTGAGGTCTTTGTCGAAGAACTTTTGGGAAGAGTCATGGAAAAGCAGGATATCCTCGAGGATACTATACTCAACACCCTAGAATACTGTCACATCTCCGTTTGAAAAGCACGCAGTTTTTAACCAGAACTATAGTCCAGTAAAATGTCCCTTCCCTGTAAGTCACAGCGCACCGCTCGCGTGCTAAGCTCGCGGGGCCCCGCTGCTCTGCAATGCGTCTGAAAGGGAGTAAAGCCGGTCCCCGTTCCTTCCATGGATCATAATAGAATGTGATTGTGTGTTTGGTTTCGTCCGGCTGATTGTTGTTGATTGTACACCTCTCTCTCTCTCTCTCTCTCTCTCTCTCTCTCTCTCTCTCTCTCTCTCTCTTCCCCCTCTCTTCGCGTCTCTGATGTCCCTCATCCCCCCCACCCCCTTGCCGCACTCCCACTCGCCTTTCACCAACTGCTCCGCCCCACTCCGCCCTCTTGGGACTCTTTTCTTCAACTTTGTTGCGGCGTTGTTGTCCGCCCCGCCCCGCC